ATGCTAGTTCATTGCCATATAACTTTAACCTTAGATCAGATAAGAGGTAAATCCTCCAAACTTTATGAAACAGTACAGTGTTAAAGGTATATGAGCGGCGAAATATCGGCTGAATCACAATTGTGCTTGAGAGTGCACAGATAGGGACATTTTTTATGAGTCACACTTGCTATGATCCAAAAATATAATCGGTAATTTATGGTATTTTTCTCGTATAAAGTTCTTTGAAACTTTGATAATTTTTGAACCAAGCTCTTGACAAAAAGGGTATTACTAAATTGATCTTTATACTCTAACCGACACCTTAAAATGACATGATATAGGTAAAGACGTTCAAACTCAAATGTGCCACCGATTAGAAAATCAAACACACAAAATGCAAAAATAGCATAAAAAAAACGAAAAACAAGAAATTGGCCGAGACGGCCCTGTTATATTAGGTAATGTGATAACTGCAGCTTAGGGTGAAAGTGTTCCAAGAAAGGCATAGGACGCCCAACTATTGCTTTAGAGACAGAAAAGATTGATTGCGTACGTTTTCATTATGTATGTTTTCGGCGCGCTTTCTTAGATAATGCGGACTACCTGTGTTATTACGTCACGTCCCCGTGTTTTGCGGGTCTAAATTAGTCTGTGACAAGGTATGAAACACCTGTCACGTGACAAATCTTATCTTGCTCCTACTTCCCCAAAGATAACAGTAAACGACAATTTTATCTACAAATAATGATGTGTACTATGATTGTCTAACTACTTCATTAGTCTTTTGACTTCAAAAGACTTCATTGAGTCTTAATTTGATTTCATTTTACGAGAAATGATAATGAAGCATTTGGCTCGCCATGGACCGATGTGTGCCCCAGGTAGATGGAACACTTTTTTGGAGAGCGCTCGCGGACTTTTACATTCGCCAAGGCTTCGGAATGCTACGAGAGCTGTCGCAAAGTACGAAAGTACTTTTGTAGCTGTCGACGAAGGGTCGGCTTTGGTGACACCAACGTGTTACGGATAGCTTGCGTGCTGTCGCCATTTTACGTAAAACAAGTCTGTGAAAAGAGTAAAAATTTATAGTCGTAAACGTCTAGCTACAAGCTTTCAGGAGAACCAGTTCCTCGGAAAGTGTCTTCTCCTACTTATATAATGAGAGTTGAGGGTCKTACACAACTGTCGAAAGTCAATTAAGTTTTGACAAGCTTTGGGCGGATTCCGGCATCACGAAAATCTAAAACAACAGTGAAACTAGTAAAATTAGCACACGGGGACGAATAACTGGGGCGTACAAAATTGTATTGCGAAATAATAGGTGTATAACTAGGTGTGAGGTCAGGACAAAAGGTCTTTCAATTCCTGATACTAATTCTACTAGTTTTACTGTTGTTTGAGATTTTCATGACTTGGTCATGCCGGAGTCCGACGAAAAGCTTGTTAAAACTTATTTGACTTTGGACAGTATAGTGAATGGCCCTCAACTCTCATTTTAACTCATAATGCTACTGAAGGACAATTTCCTAATTCTTGAGCAGTATAAGTTCGGTTTTTTCGCTGAAATATTGGACTTGTTTAGNTGGTTGTGACTTATTTGATATTAATAAAATAAATTATAAGATAAATATTTCATAAAATGTTAAATAAATACACAGTACTTCAGTAGAACTTTAATATTTCAAGGTAAGGGCTTGAAAAATATTATACGATTCTTGAATGGATTTTGAATACTGGAAAGATCGCTTACGAGTTTTTTAAGCTATTATACGTGAGCAGTCGATCTTTTATTTGTCACAGGCATCCCAGCCATGAATACCACACATGTAGATAAGCATTACTGTAATGTCACTAGATATTAAATCAAACTCTACGCCAAACCTTTGCATGTCCAACTCATTGGCTTGCCACGTTTGGCAAGTTTGAATTGGCAACAACCGAGAAKCCAGGCTGATTATGCATTCATGTTCGCTCGCTTACCGGAAACTCCTCTTGATTGGATGAGATATCACTGTCCTCAAAAATCTAAATATAACTCCTCTTCACCGCAGGCTTCAGCTCGTCTGTTAGCACATTGGTTTCAAAGCTCAATTTGGCATTCCATTCAAAGCCATCAATACTATCACGTATCGAACTAAGCACTAGGGGTTCTAAAAACTTTTCCCCATCTCAATTGAGACTATCATCCTTTGTAACATGAAGATGGACGAGAGAAGGAGTTTATGGCTGTTTAGTTTATTGTGTTTTCTACACGTAGGAAATGCTTTTAATACAAAAGAGAAGTATGAAGCGTGCCTAACGTGYGATTGTAGGTTTTCCAAGTCCGAGGTTACAGTTCGTTGCAAAGGAAAATACTTGGATAGAATACCATTAGGCTTGCCCCCTAATACTACATTTCTGTAAGTACAAACTTGAACTTATATCGTTTTAATCCATATATYTGTAAAAAAAWYCYTTYYTKYSC